GCCTCCTGGGTTCACGCCATTCTCCGGCCTCAGCCTCCTGAGTAGCTGGAACTACAGGCGCCCATCACCATGCCCAGCTAATTTTTTTTTTAATTTTTTTATTTTTAGTAGAGACATGGTTTCACCATGTTAGCCAGGATGGTCTTGATCTCCTGACCTCGTGATCTGCCCACCTCGGCCTCCCAAAGTGCTGGGATTACAGGTCTATCCTGTCTCTCTTAAAAAAAATGAACGAACGCATGTTGAGTGAATGAAACAATGAACACATGAAGTCTCCATTTATTCTGGGATGGGTTAGAGTGAGCCTCTGAGCCTGCCATCAGGCTGGCTGAGTTGTTGCCCAACATTGTATCCAGCGGTCTCAGGCCGGTGCAGTGCACAGCCAGCAAGGGGCTCACAGCTACAGCTGGAATCCAGAAGCTGCCACCTCTGCTGCAAAGGCCAGGCCTAGGGGTCCGGGTACATGCAGTGAGTCCTTGGGGCAGGGCCAGCCCTACTGACTACACAAGCAAAGTCTGTGGTGAGACAAGGGGTGTATGTTTCCCTGCCAGTACAGAGGGCAACAAACAGGTGGGTGGCAACCCTCAGGGCTGACAGCATCCCTGCCCAGAGTGACATACCAGGGCCTACTGGCTCTACTAAATCCAGGGTGGCGGAAATCCTGGATGTGCCCCTTGTTGTGGCTCAGAGGCCTCCTTTCATCATAGTTCATCAAGCCCCAATACTTCCTCCTTGGAATCAGTACCAATCCCCCGGCCCTCCCTCCAACTTCATCCCAGCCAATCACACATGTCCAATCGTGTAGTCTGTTGCCCTTCTTTCCCTCCTGGGGCATCTTGAGCCCTCTGGGATGGTGTGTGCCCAGTTCCCGCTCACGGACCTCCATGGCCCATCCACCAAGCACCCCATCCTATCAACTCATGTAGGACGCCGTCCACCCAAAGCGTTGAGGTGTCTCATCACAAGCCAACTGTTGCCTAGCTCTTACAGGGCCCATTTGTAGGCCCTCCTGCAGGTCAGCTTCCTGGGTTTGGAAGGCAACTGGCCCAGAAGGCCACTGTCAGTGCTCAAGGTGATAGCCACATCTTCCTGAACCCAGCGTCCTGTTGTAGCTGGGACACTGTCACAGGCAAGCGGCATGACGGCATAATCAGCACCGGTGAGGCCCCTGAGCGGACTGAGGGCTCCAAGGATGCTGTGCTCAGAGCTGTTCTCTCCAAGACACGTGCCTGCTATGCGGCAGATCTGCAGCAGGACGGGCGGATGGAATCCATCCCTCGTGGTGGGTCTACATTCAGAAACGACCCTGGTAGCGATCACTGAGCGGGAAACTGCAAGGAGAGTCCTGTGTTGAGAATGCAGGCGCCTGCCCGGAGTTTGGAGGTATTTGGCAGGTGGGGCCAGGAGGCATCCCTTCCATGGGTGTTACAGGCTGGTATTCTCTCCTCAAATACAAGGTCTGCTGATCTCACAGGCGTCCCTTCTTGTCCCAACCCCTTAATATGTCCAAGAGAGGAGACAGGACATGAACACATCCCATCAAAATTGGGGGTAGGACTCATCCATCCTCATCCCTCCACTGTGTGCACTGCTAGGATCTCAGGGTACTTCAGGTCCTCTTCTCCCACCCTTTCCTGGGAGGGGCCACTTGGTATCTGGGACCTCCTCTGCTCTAACACAAATGAGAATTCCTCAACAGTTTTCTAGCACACAACTTGTTCTTTCACCTCTCCAAGAAAGCAAATCTTCATCCTTTGAAAGCACACTTGATATTCTACATTAGCTGAATGATTCTGAGTCAAAAATGGTCCTCACTTTTCCCAGTGGCCATGGTTACCCAAGCACAGGAGGCCAAGGCCTGGTGCTCAGGTCAGCAAAGCAGGATCTCTGTAGATGTGTGGTCCCAGGCTTGGCAGGTACAGTTCTTCCCGGATGGCCGACAAGGATCCTGGGGAAAGGCAATCCCAGCAATGCCCTGAAACCAGAGCTCCTCCTCCCTCCCCAGGCAAGGTGGAGCTAGAAGGGCTGCTCTAGCGTAGGGTCTCCACCTCCACACACCTGGTATTTCGATAGGGCAGGTCCCCGCTGTGGGCCACTCTTCTGGGCAGCATAGTATGCTTGACAGCATCCTTGGCCTGTATCCACTAGATCCCAGAGCACCTGCTAGCTGTGACAACATCCTCCAAACATTGCAAAATTTCCCCTGGGAGGTGAGATTGCCTCAGATGGGAGAATCACGCTCTAGGGAAATCTGCTGGTGTGAGAACCCCAACTCCCCACTCTGCTGAGCCTCCAGATGGCGAGCAGGCTGCAACTCCAGCACAGACATGAAGCTCCCTCTAGCCACTGACGATCCGTGGCTGGGGTTACCCCAGGCCTCACCTGCCCTTTCTTTTTCTAACTGGGTTGTGTGTTCCACCACAGGCATGCCCCTACAGAGGACATCACTGGTGTACTTAGAACCACACCAAAATCAGGGAGCAGAAAAAGCCTGCCTGTTTTGTGATGGGTTCCCCAAGACCAGAATGGGCACTGTGAGCCCCTCTACGGACAGTGGGAGCCTGGAGCCTGGTGGGACACCGGGTCTACACAGCCCAGGAGACCAGCAACCAGCCTTCGCTGAGCATGAGTAAAATGTCTAGAAGGCCAGAACTGGACCCTCTCTAAGGACCAGGGAGCATCCTGCTGGCCCGCCCTGCTTTCCCCGAGCAGGGACAGAGCGGGGAAACCTGCTCATTGCGCTGCTGGTGGGTCAGACACCCAGGCCTAAGACGGGCGCAGTTTTGTTTTTCTTTATTTGTCTACATTCAGCTTAATTCAGATGTACTGCCTGAATGACCCAGACATAAAAAGAAACCCCCCACTCTTTCCCACTGGTTTTTAAAATAAAATCTTCACTTATAAAACTGAAACACTAAAGCATTAAAATACAGAAAGCTCGTTTAACTCACTTCACAAAAGCATTAACAAATGACGTATCCCTTCCGTAACTATTTAAAGACAAACTGAGTTACCACTAACACCAAGTGTGAATAGACAGAGGGATACTGAACTGCAAGAACTCAAAAACTCTACCCAGACAAAGTTGTAATGGCAACTAACAAACCATTGAAGACACGGAGTCCCAAACACGGCTAAATATGGGTCACAGGACGGGCCACAGGGTGACCCGCTGCACCTCACGACACAGCAACGTGGACGGGGTGGGGGCGGGGGCCTGGAGGGCCAGCTGACATGTTAACTGTGATGCATAAAACTCGATCTTCTGATGGGGAGTAAGTGCAGAAGGTAGAAATCTCCGCCCCGCGGGGGCTTATCTGTACTGGTAGTTCATGCTGTGGTCTGCGTTTCTGCCATAGCCGCCTTGTGAGGACTGGTAGGAGCTGGGAGGGCCACTGTAGTTCTGGCCGGACCCCGGGGAGTTGTAGTTCGACTGTGAGTAGCCTCCTAGGAGAGAGAGTGGTGGATTAGAGCCGAGGGGCCCAGTCAGCGGGGCTCAGGTTAGGCAGCCCACACCCAAGACTCGGCCAGGATGCAGGTGGGCAAGACTCGTGGCCTCCTATGCGGCTCTGCCTGCCTACCACACATTACTGGACAAGACTGACACCAAGACTCCGAGAGGTGGGACCACTGTGACCCTTGTTTCTGGGGGAAGCTACCTGAGCCCACAGCTGAGCTACTGGCCAGAACCAGGGGAACCGCTGTTTGGCCTCCGTGTCACCCACATTTCACACAGGTACCAGGGGTTAAGAGTGGGGACACTGCTGGCTCTCCAGCCACTCCAGAAAGCCTTAGCAGCTGCCAGTGCATCCAAGTGTGTATTCTCTCTCACAGGGCCCACCTGCCACTGCAGCCCTGCCCACGCTGCCGTCTGCTCCCACCAGGTCCACATCCCGCTTCACAGCAGGTGCCGGGCCCCCATGCTGTGCCACCAGGGGCTCCAGGCCCACCTTGTTTGCCTTGGTATGAGGAGCCGCCCCCAGAACCTCCGCCGTAGCCCCCGTGTGACCCTGGGTTGTAGGATGCCCCGCCTGAGCCGTAGCTGTTCCCGCTGCTTCGGCCTCCACTACCACTGTAGTCTGGGGGAAAGAAGACAGGGTGGTTAAGGGGCCCCAGGAAACACACAACTGGGGTGGCCCAGGGGCCTTGTGGTGCGCCTCAGACGCGGCCGGCCCCTGGCCCAGACCCTGGGCCTCTAACTCTTCTGCCTGCCTGCTTCAATGTCACACATCAGCCCAACAGATAAGCGCCAGGAGCCAGCTGCAGCCCTGCAGGGTCACCTGGCCCTGGGCTGGGCTGGTCACCAAGCTCCAAAGCCCTGCTGTGGGGTGCCTTCTCAACTGCTCCTGCAGCCCAAACTTCCCAGCAGCAGCTGAGGAAGTGCACGAGACCCCAGCAGCTGTCTCTCCTCAGCCAGCAGCACCAGACAAACAGCACCGCCTTCTGACCCGCACACCCAGTGCAGCCTCTGTCAAGTCCCTGGCCTGCTGCTGAGAGCTGCTGGGGCCCAAGGACACACCTACTCAGCCCCACCAGCCACTGGTGCAGCCTGGGCCTGCTGGGTCTGTGCATGAGGAAGCGGGAGAGGCGGTGGCGGAGAGATCAGGCTCTTGCAGGGGCTGGATGCAAAACTCTCTAGATCAAGTCCCAGGAAGTCACCTTGCAGCCTCACCCACAGCCAGGGCCTAGACACAGAGGCCTCAGCTACCCCTGCCTTCGGAGAACACACCAGAGAAAGTGGCGAAGACGGCACCAAGGGGCCCCACGCCCCATCTTCCCAGCACCCGCCCACAGCCAACACCACGTGTCCTCCTCCTAAGGCCCTCGGCCAGTGGTCTGGGCAGTGCCGAGCTTCCGCCACTCCGTGGGCTGCACTGCTGGGGCCTGGACCCTGGCCCAGCCAAGGAGCTCTGGAAGCCAACTCACTGAATTTGCTCTCGTAGTTGTAGTCGGATCCGCCCCCGCCCCCGGGAGAGTTGTAGGAGTTCGAGTAGGAGTAGCTGCCTTGTCCATGGTTATAGCCTTTCTGCTTGCCCTGCGGGGGGCCATAGTTGCTGTAGGGGCTCTGGTTGTAGGACTGCTGCTGGCCCTGGTGGGACTGGTAGCCCGAGCCGTAGGAGGGCTTCTGCTGGCCCCCGTGCGGCTGCTTCTTCCCAGCGTGTTTTGGGGGCACCGGTGAGTTGTAGTTGTCACCTTGGTAGTAGGAGCCATAGCCGGAGGAGCCACCACCGCCCCCGCCGCCACCGCCACCGGCATTCCCAGAATGCCCTCCGTTGCTGTAGAACTGACCTAAACAGGGAGGCAGTGGGTCAGGCGGAGGACGGGAAAGGGCAGGGGGAAGGGAGGGAAGGGCAGGCGGCAGCCATGGGTCCTGAAGGCTGACCCACAAGCCCGGGTCAGAGGCAGCAGAAAAAGGAGGGAGAGGAGCAGTGGCTCCGGTCCTTAGCGCAGCCATTCAGGCTGGCCCAGCCTTCAGCTCCACTCACCCAGCAGCTGATGACAACAATGGGGCTTTGCCAAGCAGCACGCGCCAGCAGCTTTTGCAGCGGATGTCAACATTACAATGAGATGGACTCCGAGCGCGGGACGACATTCACAGCTAGCTGACGGCTACCCAGAGATCCCCAATGGTGACAGGAAAAGCAAAGCCCCAGAGAAGCAGCGGCCACCCCCCTCCTCCCTGCTGTGCTGGAAACAGGCTCCACAGGCACAGGCCTGGAGATCCCCCAAGAGATACTGTTTAAAGAGACCCCTGGACCGTCATCATCCTGAGACCAACTGGTCTGAGCTGGTTTGGTTCATGGAAGACAAATTGAGACTTAGTCAATGATGCAGGCACCTCCCTTGTGATACTCGTGCAAGCATGTGACTCAGGATGTGAGCAAGCCCCAGCCTGGTTGGTGGGGGAAGACTGGCCACAGCTGGGGCCAGGACAGCCAGGTGAGGCCTAGACTTACTGCCCTGATGTCCCCGACGCCCCCTTCCTTGTCCCCAGCACAGCTGCTGGGTGCACGTGGGACTGAGCAGCAGGGCTGAGAGCGTGCAGTGCAGCCACCACATTCTCAGCTGCAAGCTGAAAATGTAGCAGCGAGACCCCACTTCTGGTCAACTAGGTTTGTCAATACACAGCCCCACCAGAGGCTTGAGTGGAACAAAGAGGATGGCACTGGCTGAGGGAATGCTGCACACCAAGCCTTGCAAGGGAGCCCCACAGAGGGGGTCTCCACGAACGGGCGTGGGAAGGCTGAGAGGGTGGGTGAGGCGGGAGGCCAGGTCATGGTGGTAGCTCTCCAGCCAAGCTGGGCAATGCCCAAGCTGATCAGCAGGTGCAGCTGAGTTCCTGGGCTCTCAGAGCGGGTCGGCTTGTGAATGCAGCCACCTTTGCCCAGTTAAGCTGCCCAGACCGCCAGGCCCAGGGTGGGTGGGATGGAAGGGGAGGCTCCCACACTGCCTGTCCTTCCTTCCCAGATTGAGGACACCAAGGGCCCACCGCCTCCTGGGTGGGGTAACTGGGAGTCCTCATGTGCCTCCACCCACTGGAGATGTATACCCCACGCTGGTGTGGTGGGCTGCCTACACGACAATGTGGACAGAACTATCTGCAACCTTCGGTTTGTGTTCTTCAGGCAGGCCTCCTCCCTCGCCCCCCATCACAAAGCCAAGACACCAAGGGGGAGGACGTGTCCCACAATGCCAGAAAGCGAACATGCGGCAGCTCAGCGAGGAGACTGGGAGGATGGGATCTTCAGAACACCCCGACCAGGACCCAGGACCCACACCCCACAGCCCCACTGCCCCAGCTTCCCCAGTGTCCTGCACTGAGCACACCACCTCGCCCCGCCTGAAGCCGGGAATGAATGAAGACGCAAGGGCCGAGGGCTTGTTACTTTCACATGTATTGATTAAAAAAAAATAAAGGGGAAGGGGAGTTTTCAACGTCATTCAGGATAACTATTTTCCTGGTATAAAAAGACATTATTCTCAAACAATAACTTTCTAAAAAAAAAATACATCATGCAATCAAAGTTTTAAAAAGTTTCACTGAATGTTTCAAACCTCTGGGAACAAATCACGTAGTAACCATTTTGACCAGTTTTTGCCTGAATAAACGTAAAATCTTGCAAGTCAACACAGACGCAGGCTTTGCTGCAAAAAATAACCGCTGATCAGAGCCAAAACCAGTTTCCAAGGAGGACACCTGCCAGAAAACAGGGGCCTCAGTAAAGAGCCAGAATGACTGTGTGTTTGTAGACAGAAACTTCTATGCCTTCGGAGTCTGTGGCAGCTGCACATGCAGCAGCACCACCTCTGCCCAAGGAAAAGCCAGCCCTTTACTGAAGAAGCAGGGAACATCGCGGTTCTTTCTCCTTGATTACTTTTAAAGTCCCAATAAACTAAAAACAAAAAAATCCAGAATCCCATGCATCTGCAGCTGTAATGAAGACTTGCAAAATTTCACGTCATCTACCCCTTAAAGCCTGTCTGTTTCTTGCACTAATAATGGAAGCACAGTTTTGATACCTTTGAGAGTTCACTCTCTAGCTAAACCAGCCACAAAACATTGCATTCCCAAACAAGAACCCACCAGAGCATTACAAGAGGCGGGAGAAGCTAATTCAGCGCAATACACAATTCCCCACGTTCCCAACGTTTTCACATGCTCGTAATAAGAAAAAAGCCGGTTTCTCTGGATTCAGATGTGGTGAAATCGTTTTCATCACTGTCAAAGGCATCAACCAGATTTGGGAGTTTGTTAAAAGGTTAAAAATTCATACAAAACCTGCTGTAAATTAAGACAAAGGTAGATTAAAATGCGTCAATGTCTGTCTCTTTAAATAAAGTAATGCTTTCCATAAAAAGCAAAGGTGGGCTTTTGCCTTGATGCCGAACAACGCTGTCTCTAGAATTCTGTGCAATTCTGCACAAAAATACATTCTCTGAAAAAATTGTTTTCCACTTAGTGTGAACTTCAATAGGACCAAGTTCAAAGGCAAATCACGATAAAAACTGCCATTGTCTTAAATTCTGCAGGCTAAGAGTTTCAGACAAGCTGCGGTGAAAAGCCACGGTTGAGAAACCCAGTGAAGCACAGGGACACAGCACGGACACTTTGGGTTTTGGAGTTGGAGGAAATTGGAGTAAAAAGTTGATTTTGTGTGCAATACTTTTAGACGCTCTAGGAAGACCCAAAATCATGATAGCCGTAGCAGTCTGTGAAAAAGTCACCTACAAAAGGGGGAGACAGAGCAGAGAGAAGAAATTAGAATTCTTTTGAAAAAGGGCACAGAGCGCCACATTTGAAATTCATGTTTTAGATTTCTCTGCTCCTGTAACCCCCCAATGAAGGCTCCTTCTCAAGACAAGAGCTGTGCACTGGCTGGAAAAGCGTATTCACAAGATTGGTGCTTCGCATGGCTTAAAGCAGAGAAATTTAAAATTCTAACTTTTAAGGAACTTTGCAGTTACACGAGTTTGTGTGTTAACACAATCAATCCCACTGCAGGGCGGGGGGGGGTCGAGGGCCATATGACCTATTCACCGCAAAAAGGTGTGTGCCCCTTCTACAGCCTCCTCGAGGCTGCTCTGGCCGCCCTTTGCTAACTCAGGCCCAGAAGCTACACTGTGGCTGCTTCCCAGGTCAGACAGAGAGAAACGCACTTACTGTAGCCTGCTGTCGCCGAGTTGCCTCCGTACCCGTAGCTTCCATATCCAGCGCCTGGAAGGGGAAAGATAGGGTTACCAGGGACCAGCAGTGTCTCAGGCCCACCCCAGGAGCCCCACATACTTGTTCCCAGAGCATGCACATGGGGAAGATGGGGACAGTGCAGTACAAGGGCCCTTACCAGCATTCATGTAGCCTCCGTGGTTGGCGCCACCAAATCCTCGCCCGCGCCCTCGTCCCCGGATGTTCCCGCCTCTTCCCCGCCCTCGAAGGTTGGGGGGTGGGGGCACTTCATTGTGCATGGGGCCTCCCATGCCGAAGCCAGGGTTATGTGGCTAGAAGAGAACACAGGAAGTGACATTCCCTTTGTGCTCACATTGCAGGAGAACCCATGCCTGAGCCAGGAGATTCAAGGGTCACTGCTCACCTTAGCAGCAAATTTCGGTCCCCCTCTGACGGGTACTGGGGCTCTCTTCTTTTTGTTGGCATCAAGGGCGAGAGGGGTGTCAGGGAAAAGCTTTTCTAGGGCAGCAAGGGCAGCGTACGCCTTCGCCACCTTTTTGTTGGAACCAGCACCTTGGAACTTCTGTCCATCCACTTCAACCTGGAAAGTGCAGACAGAGGTGACCTAGTGCCTCCCTCTAGGGGCAGGGGGACCCCAGGCCTCCCTATGGGATGCCCCAGCAGGCAGCTCCAGGCCGCGCACCTCCATGACGAAGCGCTTGTCGTGGCTGCCACCGGTCTCGGAGATGAGCTCGTACTTGAGCCCCCGCCTTTTCTCGTTCAGCTCCATGACTGGGTTCTTGCCGTGCTTTGTCAGGATTGGCCCCTGCTGTTTTACGTTCTCAGGGAAAACAGAAAGAACGACCGACAAACTCAGCTATGGGCTTTCCAGCCACACAGGAGGAGCAGCAGGACTGAGGCCGGGCGTCTGCTGCTCATACACTGCCAGTCCTTGCCAGACAGTCTCCACCCACTCTCGTGAAGGCCTTCCAGCAATGTGCCCCTTCCCTGTGCCTCCCCTCTGAACAGCATGTTCTCAACCCAGGGCCACCCCAGTGTAGCCTAGGATGCTGAGACAACATCCACAAGGCCCTCCCCCACACGGCTTGTAGGGCAGCACCCAGCTTCCTGTGTGGGCTTCTGGCCTGAAAGGTCAGCTTTTTGGGGCAAATCATCAAGGACCAGTAACCACCTCACTGACAGGACACATGGCTGCCTGCTCTGTCTGGCAGTGACTCCCAGCACCCACCACGTGCTCACCTCGGCAGTGGCATCTGAGGGAAAGGCCGCACTAGGGGTTGAGACAGCTTCTACCACTGGGGCGGGGGCCACCACCGCTGGCTTCGCCTCAGTCTCCTCAGCCGAGTCCTCCCCCTTGCTAGAGTCCCTGCCTTCGGCACCCGTCGGCAAGCCCATGTCCTGTAACACCTGCAGAGGTAGCGAGATCCCCAAGGTCCCATTGAAGCAGGGCTCAGCCCGGGAGCCATGCATGCAGGGCCTCCCCATGGCCTACAGGTACCCACCCAGAAAGTCATCTGGAGGAGGGCTGTTTCCTTTCAGCTTCTGCTCCCAGGAGGCCCTAATGTCCAACTATGTTTGGGGACCCCTCTGCCTGCCAGCCACAGTGGGAAGGCGTTCTTGGCACATGTGACCTGCAAATACCCGCCATCTAACTATGTGTGTTTTTAGGATCTACATGCCTTCCCTGAGAGACAATGGCTCATATGGGGCCCAAAACAAAGATCATGGTTCTGCTATTAGAAAATAGTGACGCTGGCCACACTTACCTTAACGGCCACGTGCAGCTTGGCCGTCTTTTTGGAGGGCCCAGAGGCCTCGAATGAATTGCCATCAACCTCCACAGACATGGTAAAGATGGGGGCATGGACGGGCCCAGTCTGGGACACGAGCTTGTACTGCAGCCCTGGCTTCAGCTGGTTCAGCCGCATCAGGGCATTCATAGCTTGGGGGGGCTCTGCCTTCTCCTCTACAGAGAGAACACCAAGGTGGCTCTGGATCAGCACGATGGCAGGTCTCCACGAGAGCTCTGCCAATCCTAGCCCCCGGGCCTGCCTCTGTGGCGTAACACAGTGGGTGGGGCAGCCACACAAACTGAATCCAGTTTGCACCTCTCCTGTGGCCTCCAGCTGTGGCACCATCATCCTACTCATCTTCTACATCCCCAATCATGCCTCATTATTGTTAAAGGACTCAGAAATCACAAGTAAGAAAAATGAAACAAAAGCAGGCACTCCCTATAGCTTCAGGGTGAGCCTTCATAGGACCAGATGGATAAAGCAGCAGCACGAGGGGAGGTCTGCACCTTCCTGCTTTTTTATCTACTTAGTTTTTAAAATCTTTCAACACTGATTTTAAGCAAGGTCTCACTCTGTTGCCCAGGCTGGAATACAGTTGCTCACTGCAACCTCCGCCTCCCAGGCTCAAGTCATCCTCCCATCTCAGCCTCCCAAGTAGCTGGCACTACAGGTGTGCCACCACACCCAGCTAATTTTTGTGTTTTTTATAGAGACGGGGTTTCGCCATGTTGCCCAGGCTAGTCTCAAACTCCTGAGCTCAAGCGATTCTCCCGCCTCGGCCTCCCACAGTGCTGGGATTACAGGCGTGAGCCACCGCGCCCGGCCTGTACCTTTCTTCTGAATCTTCTTCTTCTTTTTGCTGGGAGACTTCTCTTCCCCGTCCTCCTCCATTGGGCGTTTCATGGGCGTAATGGCATAGGTGGTGCTGGGTGGGATCTGAACTGCAAGGAGAGAGCAGGGCATGGCTGAGAGATGCAGATGGCCACTCTTCCTGGAGCCCAAGCCATCAGGCAACCGCCGTGGGCTTACCGGTGTAGTCCACTGGGTTTTCATTCTTTGGTTTCTTGGGCATCTTGGAAGGCAGAGGGTCCATGCCCAGGACTTTATGGAGCTGGCCGAAGGCAGCGAGTCGCAGTGCGTGCTGGAGAAGGGGAAGAGGCTCTGACTCAGCTGCCCTGTGCTCCCGGTCATGGAGTGTGCGCTCACTACTGCCTTCTGAGGAGGGGCAGAGCTGAAGGGCTGCTAATGGTCTCCTCTACGACAGCAAGGGGTCCCCCACCAGCCAGGGGAGAGCCTGAATGCTCAAGTCCAGCCTTGCTGTGGGGGAAGGCCAGCCTGTGACCACCCCCCTTCCAGAGGAATACAGGAGACCCCAACCTGGGGACTGGTTGCCACACGGAGCCATGTGGTAGCCTGCAGGGGAAGGTCCCCCGGAGCAGTCCGCACAGCAAACACATCTCCCAGCACCACTCAGTGTCCGAAAATGGCACTCGAGCAAGCCAAGGGAGGGGGCAGACAACAACCAGGCATGGCACCAGGGGAAAGAAGCAGCCCAGATTGGGGCGCCCTGTATCAGACACGATCCCTTTGCCTTCAGTCCCCGACCTGAGCCTACGAGTCCAGGGGCTACCCTGGGAATACCCAGTAATGGAACTGGAAGCCAGTGATTACAGACTGGGTCAGGGCGCACGTTGGCAATGGCGATGACTATACCTGCGCACTCTGTGTGATATCTTCCCGTTGCTGTCTGTCTAGATGCCCAATAGCATCAGTGGCTTCTTTTTCACAAGGGTCATAAATGCCAGAACCATCTGAAGGCAGGAAACAAGGAAGATATGCAGAGGATTATCTTTTAGCATCTCTGAAGAGGTGTGCTGGCTGAGGGAACTAGGTGTGTTACCCCCCGCGCCCCATCCACACCCAGCTCTGGAAAACATGCCTAGCTCGGTGACCCACTCGGCGTCCAGCCCTTGACAGAAATAATTCACAAGTGTCTCAGAGCAAGAAAGTCACGTGGGAGTGGGTCACCATTGCCCCGGATCCGCCCTCTGAATGACGGCTGCGGACCCGGTCAGGGCTGGATATGATGGTGCCAGAGGGTAGTCACATGCTTCAGCTCTAGGGAGTGGACACGGGGCTGCTCCTGTCCTAACCCAGTCAGTGTACCCGCCAGGAGGCGGCCTGGAACCCTGTCCTTTCCCTGCAACCTGCGAAGCACAAGGCCCCAACCTGGCATCACGATGCCCGACGCCAGGCACTCCAGCACTCTTCGCAGGGCCTCGCCAGCACCCATCGGTCTGTTGGCTGTCCCAATGGATTTCTCACACAGGAGCTCGAGAGGCTGAAAGGGAAGAGGGACAGTGAGCCAAGAACCTACAGGATGAGGCCGGCCGCCACTAGGGAGCTGTCACTAGATGAGTGGGTCAGGGCACACGTGGGACTCATAGTCAAAGCCTCAGGTAAAGTCAAAGCCTCAGGGCTAAGCCTGAGCCAGTGCACCTAGGACAGGGAGGACCAGACATGACATCCTGCAGGCTCTGTGAGCTCAGGGACCAAGCTGAGGTTATAATGTAGTACCTCATACTTAAAATCTAACCATTTATTTACAAATATAAAAACCACCCCAACAGGGGGCTGAAAAAAAATAGCAACAGCTGGTAAGAACTGGTCCCGCGTGAGAGCATCTGCAAACCTTCCCAGAGGGATCATTCCCACCTCCTCGCCAGCCTCCTGCTGGGATTGAGCTGTGCGACCCCTGCAAAGGGCCCTGACCCACACTGTCCCAACCTCAACCCCAACCCCAGGTGTGGCAAGCAGTAGCAGCTCCACAGGCAGCTCTGGAGAGTACACACCAGCCACACATCAAGGGGCCACTCCTGCCCCGTGATCATCAAGTGTTCCTGGGATATCCTAGAGACTCTGCATACACCACCCCCTAGTAGCCATAGCAACATCCTTACCCAGCCTCGGAGGGGACCCCAGGTGGGCACGCGAGTGCACAGGTCCCTGAGGACCCGGATTACAATGACACAGGACTTCAGTCCGTTGGCTCGAGCCTAGGGGAACAAAACACAGGCTCTTCAGTCTGAGGCACCGCCCAGGGCACAGGTCAACATGAACAACACAAGTGTCACGGTGCTGCTTTGCCAAGGGTAAACAGTCAACGATGGCGACCACCAAGGGTGTGGCCAGCCGCAATCTCACTATGTGTACAAGAAAGTATTACTCTTAACACAAAGCAGCAGCAGCAGCCCACCAATTCAGTCTCAGCCTCTTTTGGGGTCGAATTTGTTGAGGTGCACTCCTTTAGGACCTGCGGAACCGCAGGTGCTAAGCTCGGCACGGCTATCGTCAATGTTAAGGAATCTTTATGGTGACAGTTAGCCAAGTTAAAACTTAGGAATTCTCTACCAAAAGACAAAGAGAAGAACAAAATGCAAACCTGGAACCACTTGGCGTGTCGGAGGGACGCCAAGGCAGCAAGGCATTTCTGCCTGTCCAGAACGTCCGGGGGGTCGTTGACTGATAGCGTTTCTATTCATGGATGGAATAAGAAGACAAGGCACAGTTTGACCAAGGGGTTTCTGTCAGGTGGAAAGGGGATGTGGCAGCTTTCTAAAGGGCAGCTGAGTTTCCCAGAAGCTGAATTCATCTCCACCCTGGACCAGGGAAGGAGAAACTAGAGCACATTGAACTCTGCCCTGTGAGGAAATTGTAAAAATTGGAGGCCCCATCCAAAAATAAAAAAGAAAAAGAAAAAAGAAAGAAAAAGAAAAAATAAAACAAACATAAAAACAAAAGTGGGGAGTTATTCTAAAAGGAATAATCTCATGAGGGAGGGGAGAGATAGGTGGAGCCTATCTTCTAATCCTCTTCCCTTGCCTCCTCCCCATGTTCTCCCAATAAATTAGCTATGCTAAAATGTTCAATAGGAAAAAAATTAAAAAGGCCGGGGGAGAGGAAAGGAACTCCCTCTCTGCATCCCACAACAGCCATCCCAAGGCATATGCGGCAAAGGGGACCAACTCCGCCCACCAGGCGGGACTGCCCTAGCCCCAGCCCTTGACAGAGAGAGTCCTGTTGGTCAAAGGTCCAGCGTCCCTACGTTGATCAACTAGAAGGGCTTTGGTAGTCGGAATCAGCTATGAGAACCAAAGGTAAACAGCAACAAGGGCGCTATGCCAGCCTATGCTGCGGCCAAGCCGAGCGTCTGTCTTCTCTGCCATCTGCACGCCAGGGGTTTGGATAAGGCCTGAAGACAGGCACACGAGGGGCGGGCCATGGACTGTGAGCACATTATTAGTGCGAGATCCAATGAGGTAGTCTGAAAAATTGGACAACTGTTTAAACTTTATCCAAAACTCTGTATCAGCTCTTTGTGCTTCTGTCACTTTAGATGATAAGAGCCACGGCAGAGGACAAACGAAGAGGCCCTCAGCTCAGCTGCAGCACAGGCTGTTGGTAAACTCCAACGTGGTGCTCATGCAGAAACCGTCTGGTTGTCTCATCTTTAAAACCATAGAATCACCAGGGACACACTTCTCCACAGCCAGAGAATGGCTCCACGGAAAAGCAACTACCACATTCACGTTTGAGAATGTTCAAGGATGAAGTTAAAGAAAAATGGTGCAGTCCCCTACGAAAAGTGCTACTCACTTTTAGTGTGACCGTTTTGTCAAACTCCCAAGTACTCAAAGCCAACGGGAGATGTGATCTCAGAGTAAAGGTGGTCAATCTACAACGTAGCCTTTTACCAAAGCAGTCTAAAACTGAATAGCACATTTGAATAGTGAGGGAACACCACGTTTTCAAAGCCCTGCCGGCCTGTCTCGGCCTCCCTACCTCCAGCTAATACTTTTTCCATTTCTTCTCTGACAACAGGGGATGTCAGGTGGATGGTCAAGGACAATGGAGGCTCTTTTGTGTTTTTTATCACAATCGCAGCATCGTCGACAGATTGCAGTATTTCGTACTTGTCTTCTGTTACAGCCTAAAAAATAAAATGCAACTTTCAAAACACTTTCTCCTCAAAGCAATCAACAACTTTATCTGGCTCCACCTATTCCTGCAGCAGAAAGGCCAACTTCTTGGGTATGATGTCCCAGAAGTGACTTCACCTGGGATGTCAGGATCTCTCTAACTGTCCAGGTTTTCGGCCACGTTTTGGGTACTAGAGGGGGTAACTAGTGAAATAAGCAATTTCCAAAAGGGGCTTAAAAATGCAATGGTAAGGCCAGGCACGGTGGCTCATGCCTGTAATCCTAGCAATTTGGGAGGCCAAGGTGGACAGATCATGAGGTCAGGAGATCGAGACCATCCTGGCTAACCCAGTGAAACTCCATCTCTACTAAAAATACAAAAAACTAGCAGGGTGTGGTGGCAGGCGCCTGTAGTCCCAGCTACTCGGGAGGCTGAGGGCAGGAGAATGGCGTGAACCCGGGAGGCGGAGCTTGCAGTGACTGCAGTCCAGCCTGGGCAATACAGCGAAACTGTCTCAAAAAAACAACAACCAAAAAAAAAATAAAAACAAACAAAAAAGCAATGTTAGGCCAGGTGCAGTGGCTCACACCTGTAATCCCACCATTTTGGGAGGCTGAGGTGGGGGGATCACAAGGTTAGGAGATCAAGACCATCCTGGCTACCCAGTGAAACCATCTCTACTAAAAATACAAAAAGAACTAGCTGGGCGTGGTGGCGGGTGCCTGTAGTCCCAGCTACTCGGGAGGCTGAGGCAGGAGAATGGCGTGAACCCAGGAGGCAGAGCTTGCAGTGAGTCGAGATCACGCCACTGCACTCCAACCTGGGCAACAGAGCGAGACTCTATTTCAAAAAAACCAAAAACAAACAAACAAAAAAGCATTGTTAGGCCAAGTGTGGTGGCTCACGCCTGTAATCCCAGAACTTTGGGAGGTTGAGGCAGGCAGAATCACCCGAGGTCAGGAGTTCAAGACCAATCTGGCCAACATGGTGAAACCCTATCCCTACTGAAAATACAAAAATTAACTGGGTGCAATGGCTGACACGTGTAGTCACAGCTACTCAGAAGACTGAGGCAGAAGACTCACTTGAACCTGGGAGGCAGAGGCTGCAGTAAGCTGAGATTGTGCCACTGCACTCCAGCCTGGGTGACAAGAGTAAGACTCCATCTCAAAAAAAAAAAAAAAAAAGCAATGGCAAAGAGTTTAGGATCCCGGAGGAGGAGACCCTCCTTTCCTGCTTTTGCCCTTTAGTGGGTAATTAACTTTGGATAAATCTCTCATTCAGACTTACGGCTCTAATCTGTAAAATGGACTTAATGACATGAACTACACCACAAGGCTGCTGGAAGCCTCAACCAGACACTGCGCGGAAAGCGGAGGACACTGCAGAGTGGGCATCCAGCCACTGCTACTTCCATGCTGGGATGAGCAGCCAGACAATGTGGAATAAAATCTGTGTGCAGTGAAACAGCCAGTGTGCAGTATCCTATGATGCATCTAAAAGTATGTACTTGCTGCAAATGCACATCTACAATGACCCGCACAACTATCTTTATTCTTGATACCACCGTGTATGACGTGACAAAGAAAATTCAAGCTTTTGGCTGAGGGCAGTGGCTCACGCCTGTAATCCCAGCACTTCTGAGAGGCCAAGGCGGGCGGGTTACTTGAGGTCAGGAGTTCAAGACCAGCCTGGCCAATATTATGAAATCCCGTCTCTACTAAAAATACAAAAAAACCGCCATGTGTGGTGGCAGGCGCCTGTAATCCGGGAGATGTGATCTCAGAGTAAAGGTGGTCAACCTTCTTTTTTTTTTTTTTTTGAGACGGAGTCTGGCTCTGTCCCCAGGCTGGAGTGCAGTGGCCGGATCTCAGCTCACTGCAAGCTCCGCTCCCGGGTTCACGCCATTCTCCTGCCTCAGCCTCCCGAGTAGCTGGGACTACAGGCGCCCGCCACCTCGCCCGGGGCTAGTTTTTGTATTTTTTTAGTAGAGAACGGGGTTTCACCGTGTTAGCCAGGATGGGTCTCGATCTCCTGACCTCGTGATCCGCCCGTCTCGGCCTCCAAGTGCTGGGATTACAGGCTTGAGCCACCGCGCCGGCCCGCCAGCTAATTCTTTTGTATTTTTTTTAGTAGAGACGGGGTTTCACTGTGGTCTTGGTATGGCCTGAACCTCGTGATCGCCCACTTCGGTCCTCCCAAAGTTGCTCGGTTATGTACTAGGCGTGAGTCCCACTTTTTCT